CAGGTGACCTATTAAGTGAGACGCACTCCTGATGGCTTACCGTAGTGGATGTACTGGCAAGCTCTGGGTTGCTCTAAATAATAAAAATTCTTTCTGACATTATGTAGGCAGAGAGGGAAATAGCCCCTTTGGTGAAACCCCGTGGACTTTGCCTTCACCTCGCTGCAGAGGGCTGCTGATGCAAAGGCTAGTATTTGCCTGCAATCTTTCCCTGGGAAGTAATTAGTTTCCATTTAGAGGGATGACAAATTGATCAGGCAGGAGTCGCACTGAGCTCTGAATTGAAGCTAAACTGTGATGGCTGTGGCTCTGGCAAGTCAGGTTTGTAGGTCTGTCGATGCATTTTACAGTTTCAAAATTCAATCACCCAACAGCAGGAGAGGAAAGACACTGCTCTGAAGAGAGAACCAAAGCCTGCATTTCCTTCTGCAAGTTCATTATCGCCTCGCTAAAGCATGACGGTGGTGTGAAATGGGTTAGACGCACGGATGCCTCTGTTAACGGCCAAAGAAAAAAAAGTCGCACATCATTAGGAATGGAATAAACGATACTGAGGCACAGAGCAGAAATGATTTGATTAGTAATTTCCAGTTTTGAAAAGACCTGGAAAAGTACCAAATGACTATACAGAAGGTGTGATGGAGTTCTTAATTGCTATAACTGCTCTGGGAGACTTGATGATTTGTGACATAGAATACAGCACAGTACGCTAACGCTAATAACCGTTAATTAAATGCAGCAATGATATACTCTCAAAATGCACATACAAGTTACCATAATTTCTAGATTAAAAGCTGCACTGTCAGAAGCCAAAGGCAAAGAAAGGTGGAGGCAGCAAGAGACATTTCTCTTGCCTTATGAGCAGGCCCTATGGTCTACCCAGAACACAGCGGCCAGAAAACACTATGGGAGAAAAACACACTTAGCTGGAAAATGTGAAACGGTTCCTGAATGAAGCCGCCCCTCTGGAGAGAGAGTTATTAATTCCGAAAGGCTGTTGCAGCACCAGACCATCTGGCGGTGTGTGGAGAGTTCAGTGGCTGGTGCAGCTTCCGGTTGGATCTGCCTCGCTCCCCTGATATTTCCCACTTGAACTGTTGTCATGCCAGGTCAGAGATGTTTGGTGGGAAGGCGTGATGGGAGGAGCCTGGGGAGATGGGGGCTCTGCAGAGTTTTAGGTGCTCTCCTTTTCATGTCCAGTCCCTAATGACTAACAGGAGGTGAGGATGGGTAATGGGGGGTGGGGGGTTTCACATGAAAGCTTCATTTGAATGGAAGATAAAAGAAGCCAATTAATCTCCCTCCCTTTGGGTGAAGAAAGCTGTGAGCTCGAAGGAAGGAAGGCAAAGGAAATGCTACTACTTTCAACTCAATTATCTTGGTAATGGCACACAGAGAAAGCTGAGGCAAACACAGAAATCCAGATACAGTCAAACACTCCATTTAAGGCCATGGTGCTCACTTTCTGGTTTAGGTACTACTAAAACTGCCAGCATTTAGGAAACACTAGAGGCCTGCCTCTTGGAGAGGTCAAGGAGCAAGAGAAATGTTCTTTGCTTGTCATCCAACCAGTGTCTACTGCACCCTCACTGGAATACGGAACTGAGTCAGGCAAGGAATATACAAGGGGGTTATGTCACAGGTTATGCAGCACTTTTGGGGATAAATGTTCCTGGAATGAAGAGGAAGAGAAGATTTTACATGGAAGAGCTGGGCAAAATGTCCTGAAGGTGGTGGCAGCTGAAGGAAATCGTGAATAAGTTACAGGATCCGGACATGAGACAAACAAGGGGAAGGACATCTGAATATTAATTCTCCAAGCGATTCTGACGCATGCGTATGTTTGAGAACCATGGAGTTAGAGGACAACAGGGACAGGAGATCCTAGGATGTTGCCTCAGAGGCTGCTGTGATTGAAAGGAAGGGACAGACTGGGGCTAGTCCTTGGAGAGGTAAAATACAGAGCACTTGGCAAGGGAAGAGTCTTGGGGAGACTTCTTTGGTTTCTGGCTTTGGGAACTAGCCAAAATGTGAATATGGGAATAAAGGAGCAGGAAAAGGTTTGGGTAGGGTTGGGGAGAGAAATCAGAGATGATAAATTCAATTACTGTGTGATAACAAAGTTACTTCCTTGGATTTCAAAAGCAGTGTAGAAAAATTCCTAGGATTCCATCTTAGGATACAAAATGGTGTCATTTAGAAAGCAGGGAATCAATTCACTTCATCATTGCATATACTTTCTCTTCATATAAATCAGTGATAAAAAACGTATAATAAGATTCTTAGGAAACACACAAAAAAAATAAAAACCAGGGAATCAGCAGAGCACACATAGAGAGGCAAGGATCTGCCTCAGTGATGGCACACTTTCCTCGGGGCCCAGGAAGACATGTGTGTCAGGAGTGGGACAGATGTCTTATTGACTACAGACTATATGGACTGAAGTTTGATGGGGAGGTCTGAGATGGAGACATAGGTTAAGTACTGACTGTGAGAACACTGGGTGTGGGTAAAATCACCCAGGGTGAGAATAAGATCTTGGGTTATGTGGCGCACAAAGGTCACTGGAAGAGATCTGGGAGTTGTTAGAGATAAGAGGAGGACAAGGAGAAATAAATGTCATAAAATCAAAAGGAAGGGAGTCTTCCAGGTGGCCTGGGGGTTGAGCCTCAGTGCTACCACTGTGAAGGCCCACTGTGACAGCCTGAGTTCAATCCCAGGCCAGGGAGCTACCCACATGGCGCGGCAGACCTCTCCTGTCTAACCCGCTACTCCCCTCAGCAGTGAATTTCAGTCAATCTGCCGGTTCTGTTCCCCACTCTGTCTCTGGTGAATCCTCTCACCACCCACACCTCTGACCCGCACCCCAATTCTTCTACGCAAAAACAAAATCTTTAAAAGCAAAAAGAGGGAAGGAGGGATGGAGGGAAGGATGGAGGGAGGGAAAAAGGGAGAAAGGGAGGAAGGAGCGAGAGAACGAGCCAAAAGAGTAGTCATATGCTTCACATGACCTTTATTTTTTTATTTATTTTTTAAATATTTATTTATTTATACAAGAATCAATCGGGGTACAGGCCAGATGTGTGGGAGCGTGAGAGGATTCACCAGAGACAGAGCGGGGAACAGAACAGGCAGACTGACTGAAATACACTGCTGAGGGGAGCAGCGGGCGAGACAGGAGAGGTCTGCCGCACCACGTGGGATTCTCACCGGCCTTGCTGGGATTGAACCCGCGCTGCAGAGGCTGTGGACAGCTTCACAGTGCTACGCTCAACCTGCTGTGCCACCAGGGAGGCCCTTCACATGCCCTTTAGGGAGGGTCTGTGATGAGTGCAGACTTTTGAATCTGGGAGGGGAGATCACTGAAGTCTGTGAGAACAGGTCAGTGCCATACAGGGCAGAGACAAAGCCAGCTGCAGGAAAGGATGACAAGTGACAAGGTTTAGGAGACAAAGGAGTCTGAGGAGGAAAAGCTAGGAGTGGAGATGTGATAACTTTTTCATGTTTTAATGAGAGACACTATAGTATGTTTACATGCTGAAAAAGAGAGATTCTGAGATGGGACTGTTGCTGGGGAAGGTAGAGGTGTTGGGATATGGAACTCAGGGGCACAAAGACTTGAGTTTAGACAAGGGGAATGAAACCTCTTCAGGTAATAATGGGGGGACAAATCATCACTGATGTGGAGGCAGGTTATTGTTTCAGCCAGGTTAAGGCTAGGCAAAGTTAAGGCTTCAATAGTAAGTATAATTCAATTTTGCTTTCAAGAACATGAATCTGATTGAGGAAAGGGATGGAGATCAGATCTGGTAAATGTACAAGGTTTTATGGGACGATAAATTAAGACCCAAAAGTAAAAAACAATACTATAAGGTGTTAAATTAGGGACAGAAAAAGACTTCTTAGACAAGACCTCCCAGAATATAAGTGAGGGCAAAATAATGTACTTCATGCTGGAAAAACTAAGGATCTCCTAATAAAGGTCACTACAGATAATTAAATCTTAATAGATTAAAAGATATTGGAATTTCTATAAATAACAAATGACCCCGAAGTTAGGATATATAAAAAATAGCAAATCAACAAGAAATCAGAAAATGAGAATTCATCAACACACAATACCTTATACTGTCAAATAGCAATACCTAGAAAGATGGATAACAGTAAGTTTTGGCAAGGACGGTTGGAGGTGAGAACTTTTTATGCACTGTGGGTGGATGGTAATAGTCACAGCCAAACTGAGTAGCCATCTGCAATATTTACTGAAATTAATTTGAACACGGGTTGTGACCCAGCAATATCTCCTGGGATGTATCTCAGACAATTACTGCAGAGTCCCATAAGTGGTCACAGTACAAGGATGATTATGGTGGTAGCGTGTACACTAGTGGGAAGTGAAGGCAACTTTATATATGCTTTACTAGGGGGATATTCTGAGAAGCATGTACACCAGGCAGCATGGACAGATCTCTTAAAAATGTGTGGAGTGATAAGAAACAGAACTAAGATTTATGGCGCATTAAGACTTATGTGAGCTAAACATAGCCACAGAGAAACACTGCTTATTTGACAGTTACACAACTAGCACCCTAGGCTGGGTGGGTGCCTGAGATGTAGAGAACAGACCCTGATAAGGGGGGTAATTAAGAGAGTCCTCACTTAGATCCAGGACAACAGTGCACTCTAAGCTGAGGACTATGATTAATTCACATACCTGACCCTAAAGCTCTTATCTGTATATATTTATAAATTAACAAGAAAAGATTTAGGAGAGAGATGGATTTTAAACAGAAGTCTGGTAAGTCTTCCTGAGATGGTGGGGTTTGCGTTGCGTCTTGAAGGAATAGGACTTTAATAATGGGAGCAAAGGGGAATTTGGAGCTGCAGAAGTGAATTGAATGAAGATGGGCATGTACTAAGGATCACCGGAAAGAAAGAATGTCTGGAGAGGCTGGAACCAGGAGCACAGTGAGGGGGGACAGGAATTACAGGCGTCAACTGGGGATGACTTTGGTTAGTAGGACTGGAGCCGAGGAAAGATGAGGCCACACTGGCTGCAGTATGGAAGGGGAAAGAGAGGAAACCCAGATGCTGGGACACCAGACAGGAAGCTCCTGCAGAAGTAATGGCAGGAAATGACAACCCCGGCTCTGGCAGTGGGAGCTGAGTTTTCAGGGCCTGCCTGGTGGCCCTCTAGAAAATTCCAAGGTAGCAGTGTTGCAGCCCACGTCAGAGTTTAATGATGACTTTCTCAAAAACAAATTGTCATTGTGGCTGTGGAAAAGTGTTTCACTGTTCTAGGCCCACACTCCTGTCCAAGGGAACCAAGCCTTCTTTCAATCCCCTCCCACAAGCACCACTGGTATCAATGAAAGCCTCTCTGTCTCAGTTGATCTGTCTGTCTCTCTCTCTCTCTCTCTCACACACACACACACACACACACACACACACACACACACACACACACACACACAGACAGAGTTCTGTACTAATCAGAGAAGTAAATAGTGTTTCACTCCAGTGGATCATGGGATTTCTGTGTCCGCTTCCAATTTCTATTAGGTAGGCATGCCAGTGCCCCTACCTTATGCGTTTTTTTTTTTTTTTTTCCCTGGGAGTTTATTTTCCAGAGGTTGGTTTAGCTTATTCTAACTCATTCAAGTGTCGAGGCTCTAACCTTTTCCCTTGAGAGAATTATGACTGCTAGGAAAAATTTCCTGTTTCATCCTAACCTGTCTTCCTACCATCCGGGCCACCATCCACCATTTATTTTTCTTATGGGCACCAGGAAAATATTTTAAAGTATATTTTCTAAAGAGATGAATGTCACAAGATATATACATCCATGTACAATTTACACCACAGTCTCCCCAGGAAGGAGACCACAAGGCTCCCCTAGCCACCAAAATGCATCCCATGAGAGTAAACGTCCTCCAAGTGAGAATATAAACATCTTTTTTTCCTCGACAACCTTAATTCCTCTAAAAGGGCTCAGTCATCCTACCAAAAAACACACACTGTAATGTTTTCAAGTTTTGCTCTAAAACACAAGAAAACCAATCAGATGAGCAGAACCTCTACCAAATCTAGTCACAGAGACAGGACTGACCTCAGTCCTACAGTCCCATCAGAAACAGGGCAGAATTTCTTTCCTTTCTGTTCCCAACAGGGAAACTGAGGCAGGTAAACATAAAGCCATACCTTAGGCTGCTAAGACTGACCTAAGGGCTTGTCTGCCAAGTCCAACTGGGGATGATTGATTCCATATTTCTCTTTGAGCTGGTCTTAGAGAGGGAAAAAGGTTTAAATCCTCCTGGGGTCAGCTCATTTGCTCCAAACTCAAAAGCAATTACGTAGTCCCTCACCGATGCCGACAAGATGATATTTCATTTGGTTTTATCTGGAAAACAGATTTTTTATTTTCTTTCCTCTAGTGAAAGGGCTATAAAAGAAACAAGAATTTTGGTGTGGTGGTGGCGGTGGCAGCAGGGAGTGGTGGTTGGGGGAGATGCATGAAAAATTATACTTTGACATATATTATGCGCTTAATCTTTTGTGGCAACTTTTTTACATTTGTAAGAGTTATGGATTTTAAAAGTCAGGGCTAAGATGGCTTAATGAGCATTCACCCCCCTGGAAGTAGAAGTAGGGCTGATGTGTGTTAGTCAGCTGTTAGCTTTATTGCCTCTCTTCTGTACTAAAAGTGACAAGTTGAACACATTATAGAGAGCTCAGATGTGTTATGCAGATGAAGCCTGCAGCAATATCTGCCTGCTCTCTATTATTTATGATGTCTATATAATACAATGGACTGAGATTTAAGCCATTGTGATGCAGTTTGTTTTCCAGGGTGCTAAAGTACAGCACATTTTACAGAGAATTGCATCTCTGTTACATATTAATCAAATCCATCTTACATGCAGCTCTTACACTGTAAACTAAAGGGAAAAAAAGATTAAAGCGCTTGGCTTTTCCTCAGCTGTCAAGGACTGGCAATAAAATAATAATAAGGGCTTCTAAATAATGTGTGTGTGACAGGCCTGTGCTCGCTTGCACAGTCCTTTATGGAGGTTAACTACAAAATAAGTTCCAGTGAGTGATCGGGAACAGGCCTGTGTGTAATACTGTAATGCCAACGACGGCATAATTCTTGAAAAGTTCATTTGCAGAAAATTCTCTGACTTGATGAGGCAAAGTTTGGCCTCCTGAATCATTCTGCCATGGTGTGCGGCATTTGCAGAGTTGTTCTGAAGTTTACAATCCTCGCACTTTTGAACTTGCTTCAGCTGCAGTCCATTAAAAACCGAAAGCTCCATTCCTTGGTACCCAAGCAGGGGTTTACTGTTAAGGAAGTCATGGGAAAGTGGTTTTATGATGGGATACACACAAAGGCTGCAGAGTTCTGTGGTTTTGGCAGGACGGGGGGGATTATTTCGTTTTTGAACATGAAGGTGATCAAGGCTCGCTGTTACTTTGGGTTTGGATTGAAGATGGGAATCCTGGTGAGGAAGACTGGCTCTCTGGAAGTTCTGAGGGGAGCTCCCCTAGATGGGCATCCGGGAAAGCACTTCATGGCAACTTGTGAGACTTTCGTGCCTTTTCTTTCAACTCTACAGACCCTCAAAAAAGAACACAGGTTACAAGTGTCATAGCTGCTTCTGATTCTTCCTCTTAGGAATGGAAAATGCCCGCATGCCAACCTGGACTCACTTTTCAGCTCAAGGTAATTTCTAAAGAAAAGAGGGAAGGGAAATTGCACTTGGAAGCACTCAGTCTGCCAGAGAGTTAACAAAGAGCCTGAATTTGCTCCTTTGTGGTAATCAGCAGATACAACACAATGGTTTCAGAATCTGCCTTTCTACCCAAAAGCTCAAAGTACAAAATTTACATTATTATCCCCCTGCCCACCATCTATATAAACCATCCACCAAAATATCCCTACTTAGGGAAATCACTAGCTTCCCTGGGGGTCTGCTTTTCTCCCTCTAATATAGGAAGAACAACGCCTACCTCTTCCTACCTCCTAAGACCTCACAACGAGGGGTTCTGGAACTATGGGTAACATTATATTCCTCCAGTTTCCTATATCCTTCAACTTTTCTAAAAAGAACACCCGTGATCTGATTTATTAAAGTGGCAGCGAATGCTACTTTTAAAATACTTAGTTCAATTCACAAATCTAATAAGCATTTATTGAGTGCCCATGGTTTGCCAAAGCTCTGTTGTCACCTACTTAGGTATTATATACGTCTGAATTTTCAGCACTTATTCTGAAACGTAAGGGTGGCGTTACTTATGCAACCTTATCTACACATTACCAATATTCTGGGCACTTTTGAAGGAACATGAATGGCTAAACCCCACCTCCAACAAGTAGACTGAGAAACTGTATTTTGAAAGCTCTACAGGAGATGGGATAGCCAGGGTTGAGAAACTACACAAGGCATAATGAACATTAAGAGCAAGGCCTCCCAGTGAAACTTCAAAGCCACTGTAGACTCAAGCTGAACTGGGTTAGATGTTCCATTCTGCCAAGTTATTAAAACACTAAGCCTCAGCTTTCCCTTGGGTAAAATTGAGAGGTAAGAGAAACTACCTGACATTGTACATAAGAATCACTTACTGCTGTTTGGAATATGGTAGGTACTCAATAATTAACACAAACTATCATGTTTTCCTGAACTCTCTACAAATAGCAAACAAAAACACCACCTTATGTATGGAATACTGCAGGTTAACAACGTAATTTACAGGCGTCAATTTAACTCTATCCCCACAAAAACCACGGCGATAAGGTCTGATTATTCCTATTTTACAGAAGAAGAAACTGGCCCCAAAGAACTCAGTGTTTTTCTAGGTTCCCATAGGAGGAAGACAGACGGGGAACAGTTGAACTCAGATCTCCGGGTACCTAGAGCTTTCACTTCACATGGCTGCCAGGATGAACTGTGCTGTCAGTGGATGTGAGCTGTCATGGTGGTAGTCAACATGGCTGCACCATGCAGAATAGTGATACCTCAGCATCACCTCAGCTTTACCTGGAAGGCCAGTGGAAACAGATCACTGGGCCCCACTCCTAGGTCTGATCAGGAGGTCTGAGGTGGGACCCAAACATTTGCATTTTTAATATATTCCCAGGAGACATCCATACTGTGGGTGTGGGACCACACTCTGACAACACACTGCCATAGAACGTGTGACAGGAGGCCAGGTGCCCTCTCCACCCTGCCTGGGCCACTTCCCAGTGTTGAAGCCTCACCCCTCCCCTACAATGGAATTGCCTATTAACCTAGGCTACACCCTCCTCATTTGGTCTCTTACTCAAGAGTTTGAGCCTAAGGATCTGCTTTGGGCTTGACAAACCTAACTCTACTTGGCCAAATCATTCCTTTCTCCAGAGAGCTGCCAATCCCCAATCCCCTGGCACAAAACCCCCAAGGTGCAGCCCAGCGGACTCTACTCCAGAATCAAACACATGCGTGGAGGCAGCATGTCCAGCACCTTTGCTTCCTGGGAGAGATTTCCAAACTAACTGGTTGAAAGTGCCTGGGTATTTCTATTCACCTGGCTTATTGTCAACCACGCCTCAAAAGTCTCTTTTAGGGTCCACCATAGGCCTAGAGCCACACAGAACATGGACAGGCCCTTCTGTCTTCAATCCCTATAGGCAGGTAAATTAAAACTTGCCAATACTAAAGAACCAATTTGCCTTTTCCAGAGGATTTGGAAACATTTTCCAGCAGCTGGCCTCTGAGAAAACTCAGTAGCTAAATGATGCTGTTCTCTTCTCTACCTTCCCATCACCTCATCTTTTCCTCCTCCCCCGACTGCACAGGGAGTGATGTGTACAAACATAGGCCTCACTTCCACCATCTTCCTGTTTTCAAAGCTCCATTCTAGGACACCCCAGGGAAGAGAATCACCAGCTAAGAGTTTCTAAAATGTATTTCATCTCTATGTTTGCCTTGCCAAAATTGCTATCAGGTAGCTTGGAATTCCACCTCTTTGGGCCCTGAGGTGAAATGCTTGTGAAGGCCTAAAGGGAATGGCCTGGCTTCCTTGGACTGTTCTCTTACCATGGCTCTGCCTCTATGCTGCAGCTCACTCCTGTAAAAGTCAAGGAAGCCCAATCTCAACAAAAACCCTTTGCCTTCTTAATGTTCAGAAATCCTCACTAGCAGCCAAGAAGGTGAGTCACAAAGTTGGGCGCACACACACAGAAGAGGCACATTCAACTGTCAAGTCCTTGGAAAAGACTTGTCCTGGTCTAGACATAAAAGGAGCTTGCACGAGCTGCCCCGCCGAGCAATGCTGGCAAGCACAAAGCAGAAGCCAACTTCTAACATGGCATGAAAGACACTTAAAGCATTGTTCATTTTGGGGGAAGCGGAAATCATGAGGTACTCAACACTCTGGACCATGGAATCTGGAGCTATAAGAGACTTTTAGAGCTAGATGAGAGTGCAAAATTACTGTCTCCTAACTCCCTCTTTACTGATGGGGGAGGAAGGAGAGTGAGGTTCAGGCCTTAGAGGAGCAACCAGGTGGGAACAGTAAGCCACAGAGAACACTGAGCTTCCCAGACACCTACACTGTCTAGCGAGCAAACAGGGTTTCTGTAATGTACAGTCCACAGTCTGTTTTCATGCTCCTTTATTTAAAACTTTTATCCACTTTGGGAAGAAGCTGAACTTACTCCCACTCTACAGATCAGAAAGGCTGAGGCTGAGAAAAGCCAAGCAGTTGGCTAAGGTCACCAGGCCAAATGAGATGGGACGAAGACAATGTGGGCCCAAACCCACAGTTTTATCCCTAGGCTGGTGCTCTCTCCCCTCTTCCTGGTTAGGCCCCTTGATATGGGGGTAGGAGTGATCATGTGTGTGAACAGAATGACACACTGGATGACAAAGTAGAGGGGACCAGACTGAGTTAGCTTGGAAATACTCACATTCCACAGATCATAGGATCAACACAGTCCTGCCTGGGCAGCCTAAAGCCAAGTTTTCCTTGGGTGTTTACGGTCATTACCAATGGCCGGCTCACCACACATGAGCCATAGGAGACAGATCTGTGGAGAGTGGTCACTCAACATTCTGGACCAAAGCATCCATTAGACAGCTGAGCAGGCAGTTGCCTTGGAAACTTAATGCTGCTAATGCCCTCTGCCTGGGGAGCTCTACCGGGCTCGCTGCCTCACGTCCTCAGTCTTGTCTCACATGACCCCTGACAAGGTTGTCTACCCTGATCTTCTATTTAGAGTAACACCCTTCCCATTTCTCCTTACTTACCTGCCAACATATTATCTTTTGTTTACCCATTATGCTTGCTATTGTGTCTCTCCCGCCACTAGAAGGTGGGCTTCATGAGGGCAAGGCAGTGTCTGCCAACAGACTGGTCCACAGCACACATTTCATAAACACTTTTTCCTGTATTTTTTACTTTGGAAAAAAAAAAGTCAAATCTATAAAAAACTAGAAAGAATATAGTGAACAGCCATCTCCCTTCATCGAGACTCAGTGATACCAATATTTTGCCACATTTGCTTCAGCACCCTTTGTGTGTGTGTGTGTGTGCGTGTGTGCATGTGCACATACACACATAAGTATGTTTCTTGTTGGTAAGCCATTTTAAAATTAAGGAAGGCAAGTACCTCCTAAGAATAAAAGCATTACCACACTCAGAAAATTCAACTGATACATTATCTAATAGAGTCCACATTTAAATTTCCCCACCTGCCCTCAAATAATCTTTGAAATAAGTCTCCTTATTTTTTGTGCCCAGGGCCCCATCAAGGATCAGGCATTGCATTTGTTTCCATGTCTCCCGAGCTACCTTTAATCTAGAGTAGCTCAATCAGTATCTGATGAATGATCGAATGATTGGGTGACTGAATCATGCTGTGATGGAATCCTCCAGAGATCTGCTAGCAAGTCAGTGATGGAGCCAGTGCGGCCTCACCCTGAATTTGCTCTACAACTCTCTTTTCTACATTTCAACTCCCGACACATTCACCCCGGACATGTTTCACTGCCTTTCCCTCACACGGGTCCCTGGACTGTCATTCCCTTGTCACTCACCTTCCATGGGGAGGGATGATGCTTCTAGAACCTCACCCCATTTCAGGTTCTGTCATACTCCAGTACTGACCTGCTTTCTCAAGGTATAGGACTCTTTTCTACTGCTTCTGGCTCACATTCTGTTATACAAATACTGAGGGCCCACTGTATGGCCTGGTTGGAGAAATCTTAATGGAGCTGCCTGCAGGGGTGGGGGCACTGCCTCTTGAAGGAGGTGAGCTGTGGGTCACCCATGAGGCTGTGTGTCCTATGAGAAGGCTGCCTGTCCTCTAAAAGTCTATTATGATGCCATTAGTGGCATGAGCCATGGGATGCTCAAAATGCAGGAAAACTGTGCTCCAGGAGAGGGCAGGAGGAAGAACCCAAGAGAGACATAAAAAGGCAATAGGATTTAGAGAGCACTCTTAGGAGAGGAGGGATGATGGATGGCACAGAGGAGGTCGAAAGGAGGGGGAGACAGGACAGTATGGAGGAAGAAAAGCTAGAGATAGGGACAGAGGTAGGAGGGAGTCAGAACCTCAGGTTTCCAGGGATGCACAGCTCCATGGGAGGCAGACTTGCCAGAAAACAGCAGTCCCCGGGACTAGACAGGCAGAGAATAGGAAAGGGTCCCTGGAGGTCAGAGAGCAGAGTTAGGAAACCAGGAAGTCTGCCTTCACTGGTTCCCAGGGTGAATGGACAAAGGCAAAGGGGTTTAATTAGAAACCAGCAGGGCTTCCCGGCTTTCTCTTTTGTGAAATCTGGGCCCATGGTTATGGACCAAAAGGAAACCAAATCCCCTGGCTGCCCCTCACTGAGGCCTCCTTCCTGCCTTCTGTTCCTCTATTAGAGCTCGGCACTAATTATTGCCTCACAACCATCCTGACAATAGATGCTCTCAATGGCTTCCAAGTATGACTATATATTTTGAATCACATTTACCTAGCAACAGCCCCCTCCCCCTTCTGAGCCCATTTCCAGTATCACTGGAGCCTGGAATTGGTTACAACCTGCACTGTGGATACTGACCATCTAATTTCCTAGTCTCCTAGGGGCTCTAAATCCAGCCCCCTCTGACCTGCCAGCAGGAGAGATGACCTCACATTTGTCCTGCTTATCACTGGTAATAACCATTAGGGACAATGGCAGGCGCTCACACCTGCTGCCCACTAGGACAGCAGATCGGGTCTCCACAGGAGGCCAGAGATGCAAATCTCCTTGTCCTTTTCATCACAGCATCACTCCCAGGCGCTCTCCCACATGGATACCACCAAACCAAGATTCGGGAGAATTAAACCAAGGAGACAGAGCATGCCCTGCCCCCTCAGCAAGTCAGCAAGCGCTGGTCCCGGGGTTGACAAGATGTTGTCAAGCAGCAGCATTGATCAAAAGACATTTTGCGGCTGACCCACTGGCCGTGGCCCAGCCATATGTGCAAAGGCACAGGCTGGGACATGGGACTAAGGGGTGCCGACTGTACTCTCTGCAAAGCCATTTCTTTGTAGGGAGTGATTTTCTGCAGCCCCGACATTCTCACGGCTGCCTGGGTTGTTCCGGAAATGGTGCCGTGACCATCTGGGACAGAACCTGTAGCGCTGGGGCCACTCCTGGCACCACGGTCTCTATCCCACATTCCAGGCTCACACCATCCTTTTAGCTCACCCCTCCCCGATGTCTGGAGACCCCATTAGGCTTTTCCTCTAGAGGAAGGCCCTCCCCGCACAGAGGAGCATGCCCACGGGCACCAGCCCACTGCCAGGCCCAGGTCGTCAGGCCCCGCCCTTGCGTTCTTTTTCAGGCGAGCCAGCAGCCCGAGCAGCCAGCAGCAAACCGGGCCCCAGCCCTGCTGTAAAGTATTAACTCATACTGAACACAGTTTGTCTCCGAGGACCCTCTTGGCCCCTTCGTCATCCTGTGCTGACATTTTAATCGTGCTTTTGTGGGAGCTGGCTGGCAGTTTGTCATCAGGAATGGCGCGGCGAGGGGCCAGAGCGGGTTGCTGGCTGTGGCTGCTGCTGAGGGAAGCAGCCCATTCTGACAGACTGAGCAATAATCTGAACTTACTGCGCCGAGCCTGTGGGACACCAGCCGGGCCGCTTTATCTTCTTCATTAAAGTGCGCTCAAAAAAAAAATCCATTTTCCTTTAAAGTCTCAGGAACAGATGGAGTAAAATTAATTGCGCCATTAAGTCCCGATAGACAATACCAGAGTGGTTTTCTTTCAACTGTGCATGTGTGTTACAAAGTGCTCTTCGTAAAAGGCAATTACTGCAACATTTGCCATAAAATAAAGGTTGCTTTAATGGGCAATAAACACAGGCTTCAAATTTTGTATGAAATGGGTCTCCAAAGGGCGCTGTTAGAGGCAGCTCAAAGGCACGACTGACTTTAGTATTTCTGCTCGGGCTTCAGCTCAGCTAGTTCCGAGAACAATGATTCCCCACCCTTGGATATATTCTGATAGAATTATGTATGTGATGTTCACTCGCTGCATGGGCCTCTGCAGCCAGATTTTTCTGGTCAGCAAATGGCAAGCAAGAGAGAGAAAGAGAGAGAGAGAGAGAGAGAGAGAGAGAGAGAGAGAGAGAGAGAGAGAGAGAGAGAGAGAGCAAGTTCACTACACTAGGGGTGTCCTCGGCAGTACCCACTGCCTGAGTGGAATGAGCCAGTTAAAGTGACAGGCGGTTCATGGGGGCTGGAGAATACAATTTACTCATCTTCTGTCTCATAGGTTTGGTGTGAGGGTTTCTAGTTGATTCCTGGAAGTAGGGCTCAGTGAGAAATCTATATTTATGTATATTTAGAGCCCTTTAGGACAAAGATTTGGCAAAGGGGGAAAATAGGCTGTGCTTTACAACCGAGACGAAAATGATGATGAAGGTCTGACAGCAGATTGATGACCAGGCGCTCCTGCTGGCGTCCAGCTCTGGCTTCTCTGAGGACAGCCGTACAACACTGTTTAAGTGAGCCCAGAGAGCTCGGCGGAATACAAATCTCTACCGGTGCAAGCAGAGGAAGCTGTCTTTTCTGAGGCCCCTACCCTTTTCCTTTGAAAACCCTACATATAAATCTTTCCTTTTCACAGATGCATGCTGCTCAGACATGGCTGGTTGGGGGCAGGAATGCAAAGAAGACCAGAAATTCATTTCAATCCACTATATTTCTACATTTCAGTAATTACAAAGTTAGCATGACATATAAATGATCCATTAATTGAAATATGGACTACATCAACTCCAATATTTATGGTATAAATCCATATTTCATTAAACAAATCCAATAAGCAAATATATCAAGGAGAACATGAGAGCATTTTTATTTAAGTATGAGATCAGAGCTAAAGGGGCCATTTTCTGTCTAAAATATGGACTCATCGCTTAAAAAAAAAAAAAAAAAAGAACCCTTAGCAGATTTGGAATTGAGGGGGTTTGGCAAGACAGAGAACCTGATGGTGATGAAAATTAACCACAAGTAAACCTGGGTCAACTCATAAGACAGGGGCGCACAGCAGCCCTAAAAGCGCCAGAGGCCACCAGGTGCCATGAGGTGAGAGGTGCAGGTGTCTACTCAGACTGCCGAGGGGTGCCAAGAGGCCACAGGGAATGCTCTGGCTGTTCCGACGAGCACAGGGCTTTCAGTTGAGTTTTAAAAGAGTAGTTGGTTGGTACTGAGACCTCTATAATGCTGCCCAACTCGTTTGCTTCAGGAATTTCCATCTCAACGTGGCATCTGTGGAGGGGTGATGTCTATGGAAGCACGACAGACCTGACTGCTTAGTGACAGATTTGAACTTGCTACCTGCCACCAGGACCTCCGCTAAACTCTGGCTCCGCAAGCCATCCTGCCAGTACTTTCTCACATCTAAAAGGAATCATTACCTGCCCTGTGACACCTGCCCTCTCTCTAGCGTCTCCACTAACACCACTATCTGCAAGTGTTCAGTGCAAAAATCTCAATTTTCCTTCACCCCTGCTCAATTCACCCTGAAGACCGCCACCCTGTCCCCAGCTTCACTGTCATGTCTTCTCATCTGGGTGTAACAGCGGCCTAACTGGTCTCCCTGCTCCAGCCTTGACCTCTCTAATCACCTCTCAAGATTATAGACCCAGTGGGATAAAAGGAGAGTTTTCATTTACTACTTTTATCCAGGAAAGTTCTGGTTATTAGATTTGGGGTGGTGGAAGTGAGGACTAAAGACTATTAATAATATACTCTTTCACTTCCCGAAGTACCCCAGTATGGATGGCACCTTATAATCCTAGTAAAGATTTTCATACTCCCCTTCTTTGACAGCACCTATTAGTTTCAGGAAAACTCTAAGGTTCTTCAGTTTCAGATCCAGGTTTTACAGGGCTTCAGGCTTACATGACTGGGGGCTCTGTTTAAGGGCAAGACTATAAAATGCAAAATTGTTATAAAATTTAACAAAAATAAATTTTTACAAATAAAAAAAAAGGAACAAAAAAAAACAGCAAAACTCAACATGTGCCCATGTGAAGGCACTGCTAGTGCCCCTGCAGGGGCTCAAAAGAGGCCTGTGGCGATGAGGGATCCTGCAGCTTAAGCTTCAATAGCCCCGTGACAAATCCACCCCAGCGTGGCATACAAGTAAGTTGTCAGGGATCAGCCTTGGACTAACTCTTCAGGCTCCCTACTGACATGGCCCCATCCTACCCCAATGCACTGCTTCCCCACACCTCTGCTCTATGCTTCAGCCACAATAACCACATAGGGTTTGATCAGAGTGCTACCTTCTCTCACCACTTCACTGTGCACACACTCTTCCATCTGCCAGGCAAAGCACAGGGGAAAGAGTGTCCAGGCAAATGTCTACATAATGTTTAGAACTCAGCTCTAATACCATCTGCTCCAGAAAGTCTCTCCCCATGACTCCAGGCTGGGATTGGCACTTTCCTTTGAAATGCCCTTATCACCCTGACCACCTTTATCTCAGCTCTAATTACACAACACAGAAATTCAATGTCTTTTCCTGCACTGAGGATGGTAGATGCTAAATACATAGCTGATGAATGAGTAAGCAAATCTGAGATCAAAGCATCCCTTTTTCCAGTGCCCTGTGGGATCCTTGCTAAGGCTTAGATTGGACACTGTTTGGAATGGGATGGGTAATGACAGGGACTGGAGCCAATCCTGTACCACAGAATTCCAAATTTGCTCTCTCTGTACCAGGGCAGGTCCTATATTAGAGCAAATTGGGCTTAATATTGGCAGGGATGGGATAATGAACTGGTACTTTTTGAAATCCTTACTTGAAGGCAAGGTAAGTAATTCTCAACTATGTTTGCATATTAAAAACATCTAAAGTATTAGACAAATGTATCTGGTTGCTAGATACTTACCCCGAGATTACTTTTTTCTGTGGTGAGATGTAGTTATCAATAATTTTAAAAAAGTTCTTCTGATGATTTTAGATGGAAAAGCAGTGACCTACCCAGTGCCATGTTAATCTAAACCGCCATTTAAAATATTTTTATTCATATTTGGACATGGTCACAGTTACCAACATATAGGTAGCCAAAGTTGTGCATGGTCTAGCTCTGCCATTTGCTCCTGACAATAAGCACCATTGTTAAATATTCGTGTGGAGGGACGGACAAGCCAGCACTTCCCCAGCATCTTGTCGCTTCAGTCAACAAGTGCTCCTAAGTGTTCGATACCAAGCACTCACTGGAAATACACAAAAGTAAATCTTAGCCCTTATCCTTAAGGAGCTTATGATATTATAGGTCAAATCACAATAGAAGTTGATAGTAAAAGAACATTCACTAGCCTGTAGCTAATCAAGTGCCACATGAGTGCTAGTGAGAAGTGCTCTGTGTAATGATGTTCCTCCATGGCAAACTGTGACTGCGGAGTATTCCGGGAATACCAAGATGCTGGATTTGTGGAGGAGATACAACTCCAATAGGTGTTAAGTCAGGAAATAAATCTAAAGTCAAATCGGATACTCACTTATTTCCCTCTGCTATTTAAGGCATTAAACATGTATCGAACTCTTTTATCATATAAGACATCATACAAGACATGATGGTGGGTTCTAGATACACAGAGATGAGTTCCTCGCCTGATGGACAGCGACAGGAAAAAGTCTGATTCATTATGCACCGATGTTCTCAATTGCTGCTGTGGTTAGAGCTGTAAAGGGAAAGTCCATGGTCTTAGGAGTACAAGATTCTTAAAAGTTAAGGACCACAGAAATCTACTTCCCGAGAGCCTGGGAGGTAGACCAAGTGGCTGGCTTCGAAGTAGAAAGCCTGGAACAGCCTTGAAAGGGAGCTGGTGAGCTGAGGAGAGCTCAGGCTTATTCTCCCTGCTGGACAAAATTCTCTCTCATTGGCAGAGAAATAACCTGTGGGGACTTCCACAGTGCCATGCGCAGATGGGGTTTAATGAATGTGGTGATGATAATGATGATAATTATTCAAATTCTT